CAGGAGCATCTTTCCCTCCCCTAGGGCTGAGAGGCATGTGCAGCTGCTCCCCTTATCTCCATGAGGCAGCTGGGCCGCCAACACCATCCATCAGGTGTGAGCAGAGCTGAGTTATCGGGAGATTTGTGCAGGGTGGCAGCAGTGCCAGGGAACACAGGCAGCCAGGTGGGAACGCGGTGCCCAGAGCTGCTCTCAGAGGGAGCCGTGAGGAGCATGAAGGCCACGGAGCTGCGGAAGCGGGAAGGAAGGAGTGAGGCCGGCGGCACTTCAATGGACCCTGCTCCGAGGAGCAGGGAGCTCTCTCATTCCCAGTGGAGCAAGGGGGAGGTGAGTGCGGCCGGGCAGGGGGAACGGTGGGGACATCGCAGCTGGAACTGCTCAGGGGAACCTGGCAGCTCCGAGCCCTGGCACGGATACAAGGGCCATCTGCAGAGACCAAATTTCCTCCCTTGGCATAAGACAGGATCTAAAGCAGCACCACAGGGTCCAGGCTCCAGGCCTCAGGGGAGAGGGAGGAAGGCAGAGACCTCTCTCTGCCTTTTGTTGCCCAAACAGATGGGGCTGCTCGTGTCATGTTTCTTCAGGCTCCAGATCTGACATAACCAGTGTGGATTTTGCTCCATTAGGGTTTAGGGAGAGCACACAAGAGGAACAGACCTAGTTATGTATTTACATTTGGGCTGATTCTGCTCCCAGGCCACCCGGTCTTGTGCGTAACCTCACTGATACTCAAGGGCTTTCTCTTGCTCTAGGGCAGCATAAAATATACAAGATCTGGAACATGCAGAATAGTTTCTAAACTTCAGGCTAGTGGCTCCTCTCCCACTGCTACTTAGTGGGATACAAGCAAGCTTCCCCCATCCCCAGATTTGTAAATTCTGGGGAGCCCTTGCTTTTGCAAACAGCTGGCATTGAACAAGCTCCCCCAAGCCCTTTCCCCAAAACATCCAGCCTGAAGGAATTGTGGGGACCTGCACCTCTCCCCTCCATCGCTTTGCGGGCGAGATGTCACCTCAGAGTGTCCCCCCTTCCCCAGCGGACATTTTGGCGAAACATTATGGCCTTCCCTCTCTCCAAGGGCAGCAGCCACGCACAATAAAACTACCACAGCTTTGGGCAGGAGGCCGACTGGTCACCTGCTTATATCCCTGCTTATCTCTGCCCTCCACAGGACCTGCGGCGTTTTTGTTGTTGGCTTTGCAAGGCCTGGCAGCAGCCAGCAGTAAACCTGCTGATCGCCTGCGTCATGGGCGACCCAAGGAAAAAGCAGAGCAGTGAGATCCAAAGCTGCCAGCACTCTCATACATTTAAAACAGAATAGGCAGAACATCTACATGAACCCTGGAATATCTACGTACCTCTTGGAGAAGCATTTTGCTAGAGAGCAATGAAAGCCCATGGCAATGTCTCCATTTCCTCCCCTTGCTGTCAGACGGGCTGGGTGCTTTTAGGTGCTTGCTTAGATGCACCTTGGCTGATGCGCAGCCAAGCAAGGACCATTTGTGGTGCCACCCTCCTCGAGACAGGGTTATGGCCCTCCAGTACTTAGTGTGCCTGCATCTTCGTCTTTCTTGCACTCTAGGGAGGTTTAGGAAAACAAAACAAACAACAAAAAGCAACCGCACGCACAAAAACATCCTGAGAGTCGTGCTGAAACAGTGATGAAATACCAAAGTACCAACATTAGCTAATGCGCAAAAAGAAAAATCAAGACTGCAATTAAGATGGAAGATTGGGCTCTAGCTCCAAAGCTGGAGCTTGGACACAAGCACAGTGAGCAGGATGGCAGAGAGCCCTTCTCCAGGGACGCTCACAGTGCCCTCTCTGCGTGCCAGACTCACCACTGTGCACAGACACCGGAGACCTGCCCCCAGCCGTGCTTGAGCAGCCCTAGATCGAGCCCTAGATCAAGAGCGTCCCGAGTATGGAGAGCTTCTTACCTTGTTTCTAGCCAAGAGCGTTTTTTCAGGAGGGAGAGAAAATCATTCAGCAATAACCAGGCCAACTCATAATCTGCATTTCCCAGCAGAATTGCTTGTGGTTTACCACACATTTAGGTGTTTTCTGTGCTTTCAAGCCCTGTGGATTTCAGTGGCATTACGGAGGAGTTTTCCACCAACATGTTTGGGAATCACCCCATCCAAGAGGGAACATTGCACTGGCTGAACGGAGAATCTGCCAAAACAACAAATTCCTCATGTTCCTTCTCTGGTCATCCAACAAAATTGAATACGGGGATACTTTCCTGGTATTATTGCTCACCTATTTTAACTAAATATGCTGGTCAGCCAACAAAATTGAATACAGTGAGATTTTTACAGCATTATTGCTCACCTATTTTAACTAAATATCTTAATTAGCTAATGAGTTTCACTTGATTCTCATCTCTCATTATTCCCAATTAGAGATGAGCCTGAATCAGAACCTGGGTCCCAATCAGGAGATAAGGAGCTCCTGGAAAGCTGGCACAGCTTGCATTACAGGCACAAGCATGGGAATCACCTCCAAACAGCAGGGAAACACTGGATCCGAGTTCCCCCTGCCCTCAAGCTCTCAGGCCAGCCTAGAAGCAGCCCAGGAGCTAAACATATGGCTGTTTCTGCAGTGGTCTGAATAAGGTTCTTGTGCCAAACCTGCAAAAAGGGCGTAACTGTTTTTTGCACCCTTCCATATCAGTCACATCGAACCCTCTGTAATGACCAGACATGTCCCCAAACCATAAAGCTAGTGCATTGCAGCTTCTTTTTCAGCTACTTCTTGCTGCCTTGGAAAGTGGCACATAGCAAACTCGAATCCCCGCTGTCCTAAGTCTTCACAAAGACCTGCAGCAATAAATTATGCACAAACACAAAAGTAGTCTTATTCTGTGACAGCCGCAGCCGTGTGGCCGGGGAGCCAGGACAACAGCCTCTTTCTGCGTCTGACTCGCACATTGAGACGGGGCCGGTCACAACTGCTCCGTTCCCGCTGCCATGAAAGAGGGACGGTGATGGATATGTAGCCGCGTGTGCTCTGGCAGGTTCCCAGGAAAACTGGGCCCCAGGAGCAAGCATTACCTGCAGAAAAGCTTGCAAAGTTCAAGGATGAGGAGGTATCAGCAATCTGCTGTAGCCCGTGTGCCATCAGCGCGGTTTCTCTCAGCGCAGGCTCACGCTGAAAAATCTGAGCAGCACTTGTCTCCACTGTTGTTTGCAAAGATTGATGTCTTTCACCCAGTAACAACATCTGGTCTCCGTATCTCCTTGCAGCAGCAAAGGATTTTAATGCCCTTTTAAGGGCTCTACTTTTAGTGAGAGGCTTCACTTGCTCAGACTGCGAGTCAAGGTGTAGACCAAGGGCCCTCGAGTCTGTCCTGGGCCAGGGAGCTCTGTCCCTGCTCATCTGCGCTTGCTCGAGTTGCCAGCTCCATCACTAAAAGCTAATAGGTAGCACACTGAGAAAACAAAATGCAGTTCAGCATCAGAAAAAAAACAGCCAGACTCTCAGATCTCCTTTTCTCCCCTAAGGGTGAAATGCAGCAGATCTTTCCCTGATTTATACCCTGTCTGTGAGGAGAGTTTCATATCCAGGGTTATTCTACTGTCAAATGTGGAAGTTGAAGCAGTACCCTCAGCAAAAGGGTCTATGAATTGGTGATGTTTATAAAGGAGCTCTCGCATTTGCTCGGTGAACATGCAGTTAGCAGTGAAGCAATGAGGGGCTGAAGCCCCCTCTCTCAGGGAATAGGACTCCTCCTGACAAGCTCCCTTGGTGAATTCCTCACAGGAATCTGACACCAAGTTATGTTTTTTCTTTTTCTTTTTTCTTCCTTTCCAAAGGACCGTTAGAAAATAACACAGCTGTAGTTTGCTTTACTGTAGCAAAGCTAAAGTTGATATTAACTAGGGACCTGATCTACTGCTCACTGGAGTCGGCAGAGATTTTTCTGATGGCTTTAATGGCTGTTGGCACTGGCCCTGTATCAAAGCTCACTGATTTTTTTTTGCTGTTGTGTGAGGCTCTCCAACCATTTCTCTTTGGGGAATAGCTTTAGCAGGCGGCTGTGGAGCTTAGATGAAATATCTGCTGTCACTGGCCCCCTGCTTTTTTTTTTTTTTTTCCCCATACATCAGAACTCCCCCTCTCTTTTACAGCTGTCAGCTATAGTCACCGCTGGCCTCCTCCTGCTGTACATTTTGCTGTGCTATGAGAACTTCCATTTCCATGTGGCCCATCTCTACGCTCACCTGGGGTACCCCAACGCCCAGCACCTTGTGGGACAGAGATACCTGAAAGGTACTATACCTCTGAGTATACCCCTGGCTAACATGGTGTCAGGGTGTGTGCGTGTGCACAGAACAGGAACATAAATGCAGTCCTGCACTGTGCGGCACATTACCACACTGCAGTGTTTTGAATATCATATTTTATATACCAATATTTCCCTCCCTTGTCTTTATCTCACATCCAGGAGCTGGAGTGGAAAAAAATGAGGACATGGCCATGCGCTGGTTCAGGTGAGGTGGGAATAAACAAACCCCAGCATGGCTATTAGCTCTCTCCTAGGGAAAGTCTATGGGGCAGAGGGAGAAGAGGCGGCAGTGCAGGGAAAATGGTACCTTCCTCCTTGCTTGCTCTTACCTCTCCCAAAAACATTCAATCGAGGCCTTTCTTCTTTTGTATTTGCTCTTATCATTCTCTTTCCTCCCTCTAGACAGGCTGCAGGACAGGGCCATCCACACTCCTCCTTCAACCTGGCAGTAGGAGCTCTCAAAAACATGACTGCGGCGCTTGAGGAAGGGTAACATTAACTGCACTTTTCTTTTCCTCCAGGGCTAAATTCCTGGTTCTTCCAGAGCTGGTAATCCAGGGCCAGCCCCTATAGCTGTAGCTGCTCTATACATGTGACTACTTTAAAACTGGGCTTTGAGAGAAAAAACTTAAGCTAGCTGAAAGTGAAAAAATAGTGTTTGGCAAACCCTATGACCTGAAGCCACTGCGCTTCATTTAGATATGCCACGTGCATTGAGTCAGGTGGGCTTATTGGTTCAGCCACAGGAGAAATATGTATCTTGAGAGCTCCCAATTAATCAATTGAATAAGAAAAAAGTCACCAAAATGCAACATACCTGCAAAGGGGACCAAGAACAAAGCAAATTATATCATTTTCCGAATAAGGGAGAATTGACTTTACAGAAGTAATTAGGGACCTCTTATAAAGGCCTGGGCAGATAAAAATCACACAGGAGCAAATGAAACTTCTTTCTACATATTCCTGATACTGACTTCATGTCCTCCAGGGAAGTGGAGAAGCTCCTTGGTGTGGCTGCAGACCAAGGGCTCCGAGAAGCTCAGGAGCTTTTAGAAAACATCCTCAAGAAGAGAAACCTTCCCTGAGCAGCCGCCGCAGAGCTGGCAGCACCGACGCTGTTTCTGCCTTGCCTTTTTCTGCGTTTGGCCCCTCCACTTCATCTTTGCTGACTGTCTGGTCTTTAAGTATTTGAAATGCTAACAGGATAACAGGACATTACAGCTGTTTTGTGCTGTGTTATGACAGTTAGATCTACAGCAGTCATTTCCTGCAAGATGCAGGAAAATAAATTATCTTTTTTTTTTCTTTTTCTTTTGAGTGGGAATTCAGGCTGAATTCAATTTCATCAATGAGCAGTAAAGATTAGCTCCAGCCAGTCTCAGTTTTACCAGCAAGGGCGATTCTGTCTGTCTGTCTGTCATAAAATGTACAGCGTGGATGGGGAAATCCCTGAAGTGATCCACAATCTTGTACCTTCCCTTTTGTTTGCTCACAATTTTGAACAGTTCTGCAACAGTGTAATGGAGAAGATGAACAGTCTTAAAACTTAGATGGACAACAACAAACATATGAATATTACTGAAAAAGAACCGCTAGAACTATCAAGAGAGGGCAAATCACCTCTCTTTTATTGAGCAGTAATTGCCAGCTGGTGATCACACTTTGTACCAACTGATGTGCTAATATTAGGTCCAAATATTGATCTGGAGCTTGATAAAGTGTTAATTGGGCAATTGTGTTGCGTATATTTTATGCTGTATTTATGCACTGCAATAAATGATCAAGACTGAAGCTTTATCATTGTAAACCAGCATGAGATACACGCATGATGTCATTTATAATAGAATCATAGAATCATAGAATCATAGAATGCTTAGGGTTGGAAGGGACCTCTAGAGATCATCTAGTCCAACCCCCCTGCAAACGCAGGGACACCTAGAGCACGTGGCGCAGGACTGCATCCAAGCGGGTTTTGAAGATCTCCAGAGAAGGAGACTCCACAACCTCTCTGGGCAGCCTGTTCCAGTGCTCTGTCACCCTCACTGTTAAGAAATTTTTCCTTAAGTTCCTATGGAATTTTTGATGTTTCAGTTTCCGGCCATTTCCTCTAGTCCTATCAGTGGCCACCACTGAAAAGAGACCATCCCCGTCCTCTGCACTCCCTCCCTTGAGGTATTTATATACACTGATTAGATCCCCTCTCAGCCTTCTCTTCTCCAGGCTGAACAGGCCCAGCTCCCTCAGCCTCTCCTCATAGGGCAGATGTTCCAGCTCCCTGATCATCCTTGTAGCCCTAAATTATCTTTTTTTTTTCTTTTTCTTTTGAGTGGGAATTCAGGCTGAATTCAATTTCATCAATGAGCAGTAAAGATTAGCTCCAGCCAGTCTCAGTTTTACCAGCAAGGGCGATTCTGTCTGTCTGTCTGTCATAAAATGTACAGCGTGGATGGGGAAATCCCTGAAGTGATCCACGATCTTGTACCTTCCCTTTTGTTTGCTCACAATTTTGAACAGCTCTGCAACAGTGTAATGGAGAAGATGAACAGTCTTAAAACTTAGATGGACAACAACAAACATATGAATATTACTGAAAAAGAACCGCTAGAACTATCAAGAGAGGGCAAATCACCTCTCTTTTATTGAGCAGTAATTGCCAGCTGGTGATCACACTTTGTACCAACTGATGTGCTAATATTAGGTCCAAATATTGATCTGGAGCTTGATAAAGTGTTAATTGTGCAATTGTGTTGCGTATATTTTATGCTGTATTTATGCACTGCAATAAATGATCAAGACTGAAGGGTTCAGTCTGGAAAGCCACAGGAGATACACGCATGATGTCATTTATAATAGAAACAACAGTGATTTAATAGAAAATATAAATAATGTCTTCACTTAATAGCTACCATGCCTTAACAGCTGTACCACTACCATGTCAATTGCAGGGGAATGTAATTAAATTTAATGGAAACTGTCTTCTTTTTCTAGGTGGTCTCAGTTTAAAACCACAGTGGGAGTAATTACATTTAACAGAAAGTGCACTTACTAAACAAAGATCCATGGTGTTTTGCTATCAGTAAACTCTTTTTCCCTGGGACGTGTTCACTCGTGTGCAACCGCTGCTTTTCCCTGTCACGAGCATCCATTTTGCTTCTCACATTGCACGAGGGCCTGGGCTTCCCACGGGCAGCTGAGAGGGTGGCTGAGCCCGAGTCCCGAGGGCTGCAGCACAGAGAGCAAATGAGAAAACAAGACTGTGACGGAGGGCAAGGTTGGTTTCCAAGAGCCACTTTTGCGCCGTGACTCGTCAACGGGGAGGTAACGGGTTTCTTGCCCAGGGCCCCATTTCCCCATTGCTGAAGTTCGGCGTCAGGCTGGCTCCCCCTCCGTGCAGCACCTCCCTTGCTGGGGCCAGCTGTGCCTGCACCCAGCGTGGGGCCGGGCAGTGCTGGGCCCTTCCTCCCCTGCCACCCCAGCAGCTCGTCCCTGCCCACACACATTAACTCCTCCGGCTGCAGTTCCAGCTCCATGCTCCCTTCGCCCACCTCTGTCCTTTGGCTCTTCCTCCTGCGCTCCCCTCCCACACACCCTTCTATTTAACCTGGTGCCACAAAGCGAGCGGCAGCGTGCAGCACCAGCTGAGCTGCTTTTTTTTCCCTCCCCCTCGTAGCAGTACGGTGTTTCGAGCAGCACAGTTCACAAGGTGCTTATTCCTACTGCCTGTGTGGCACCTGGTGACCTGAGCAAGGACCCTTTGGAGGCAGGGAGAATATTTCCCTTGACAGAGGTTAGCACTGGGTCACGCCTCATATCCATGCTTTACTTGAAAAACAAACATACACGAGCTTTAACTCCTCTGCTTTGGATCTGAAAACTAGACTTATGCCATGTGTCTCATACATGCAGGCATAGATGCCTGAGTCAGGTGCAATGGACATTTCTCTCAAGCCTGTGGTATACACCTCGTTGCATTTTCAAACAGGAAAAACACACCACCTTTGGTCTCCTGATGCACTTTTCCACATGCACTTACCCTGCATACTGCACAGACATCCTGATATGAGCAAAAGAAAAGCAGAAACTGCTTTGCTTCTAAAGGGCCTTATGTTTCAATGGTCCTCTGAGGTTAAACATCTCCTGCAGTAGGGTTACTGGGCCTTATTGGGAAGCTGTGATGCTCTTCCATGCAGCTTTCAGCTTTGAGATTTCCTGTCATTAGCTTAGGTAATATGAAGCTCCAGAGCAATGAGGAAACAAAAACAAAGGTTGTCAGAGCTTTCCTTACGGTGCTGTAGGGTGGCAACATCAAAGGTTTGCAGGCTGCTTTTTGCCTTGTGTTGTGCGTGTGCTTGGATGAAAGCAGCTCAGCTGGTGCCACGTTATTTGGTTATAACGGGATGACAGAAATGGCCCCAGGTTTGATACAAGCAAAGCAATTTCTTGGTGATGATTCATGCACTTACTGCCGTGTCTCAAGTTCTCACCCACAGACACCAGGTCAGAGAAACGCACCTTCAGCAGCACAGAAAAATGGCATTATGCTGTAGACTGGCTGAGTTCCTTGAAGCCTGAAGAGCAGAGAGAAAGCCAGAGACACCCACTCTGCAAAGCAGCCCTCAGAGCAGGGCCTTTCTCACCCGTCCTGGCGCTGGTGTTGGGGGCTGCGCAGAGCCCAGCACAGGAGGCTTCGTGGGGACACCCAGCTCGCTCCGGTGGGTTTTCCCACCCTTGTCCACTGCGCTCGGCGGTGCGGGCTGCAAGATGCTGGAATCTGAGCGACACGTTGGCATCAAGGTTCACGCTGCCTGAGCTCCAGCAACACAACACGCTGCCAGCGCATTATTAATTTTGCAGCCCCTTTGCCAGCGTTCGCTGCAAAAAACATGCTGCGTTTTTCCTTTAGCTTGGCTACAGCTTCATCAGGCCCCCACCTTTCCTCCTCGGCGCACAGACAGGATCTTACAGAGCAGCCGAGTGACTTACAGCCCAGCATGGCACCAACTGCTTTCTGAGCAGCCTGTTTTCTGACTAGCGGCAGTAAGGCTGGAAAATAAATCACAAGCAACCTCACATTACACCTCGACAGGAAGAGAAACCTTGCTGAGGTAACATAGCCAATTAGCAAGCCCCGGTGGGAGAAGGTTACTGCAATTCAACTCCATGCCAATACTTCACCAAGGAAAGACACTCCTGAGCATAGTGCAGCTTAGAGAAGTGGCTCTCCCATAACCATTTTTATCTTTGCAAAAAACTCATAAAGAAACAGCTTTCTCCCACCCCACATTTGTTTCCTATGCACCTTTCCCCCTGAGTTTCCTTTCAGCACCATCCAGTGAAACACAATCTTGAAGCCAGCGGTGATGCTATCACTCATATCCATCCCACCTTTCTTTCCAAGTTTTCCCGCAGAGCAACCCAGCTCAACAAGCACCCAGGCATGGGTGAACCCTCAAAAAGGAGCACAAGCAGGACCTGACTGGCATGGGAGCCAAAGCAGAGCCAGGCCTTGGCAGGAGCCATGAAGAGCCAGGATGTTTCATGGCCGACATCTCAATCCCTGATTTTCTTTCCTTTTTCGTGCAGTTTTGCTATAACGCCCCTTGAGCCGTTTCATTTCAGTCCTTGTAGCATCTCCCTCTCTGTGAGTGTGATTCCGGGGTGCTTGGGCCATATGAATACTTTTCGTTAGCTGTTTACTCCTCCAGTAAAACGGGACCAAATATTATGACAAACTCTGTAAGCCGTGTTTTCAGGATATGTTCCAAGTGCAGGAGTCACTTAGCTGCAAAATGCTTTGAAACCTGTTACTAAGCAAGCTGAAGTCAATATTCAGAAACAACTTTTTTTCCATTTTAATTGGCAGTCTCAATCCAATGCCTTGAAGGATGGAGAAAGTGGCTTTATTTCATTTAGGGATCATCTCTGAGAGAGGTTTCGGGACTGGCTGTGAGCCCTGGCACTGACTAACAGGCAGCAGGGAGCCATGGCCATGCAGTGCTCCAACTTTGGCTCACAAAGAAACTGCAGGACAAAATCTGGATTTCCATGTCCAATCAGAGCATAAGAGTAAATACACCTACCTAGACATTTACATGTCCTCTGTGCAGTTATGGCTTTATATGGCCAGGAGCAAATGAACTGAAAAA